CTTGCTCTCTCTCTCTCTCTCTCTCTCTCTCTCTCTGTTCCCTTCTGGTCAAATTAAAAATAAATAAATAAAAAGTTAAACTAAAATAATTCTAAAAAAAAGTAGTTAGATTATGTAAGAAATTGTGTGATCAATACAACGTGGGGTGGAGGATGGAATGGAAGATATCTTTAGTGCCTCAATAAAATGTGCAGGAAAACAGGATAGAAAGCAAACATAGATACAAGAGACAGTGTGGGAGGAGGGTGGGAGATGGCAGAGGATAAGAGATAGAGAATCAAGGATGGGAAAGAAGCAAAACCTACAGGAAACAAGAAATGGAAAATTATTTGTTGATGATAACATGTATGTTGATGTGCTTGACGGAGCCAATATACAGTGTACTCTGGATGGAAAATTTCATTTTGTATGCTGTAATGATGTATAGTGAATGAACATAAATAAATAAATTTAAATTAGAAAAAAAAAAAAGAAAGAAAGAAAAGACAACAGGACTGTTACCAAACTCAAATCAGGTTCACTCGCCGAAGTGCTATAAAACCAAACCATAGGTATATGGTGTGGTGAAGAAAAGTACAGCTTTATTGCAAAGTGCAAAGCAAGGAGAGCGGGCAGCTCATGCTGAAAAGACCTGGTCTCCCCTAGATGTTCCCCACATGTGTTTTTAAAGGCAAACTGAGGGGCAGAGGTCCTAGGCGCATGATCAGTTCAGTGATTGGTTCAAGAGGGTGTGATCATCTCTTGGGCATTGTTGATTGGCGACTCCTTAGATAATCAAATTTTTCTTCAAGTGTCTGCAGCCATTCAGCCTGGAGTCTCTGAGCACACAACCAGCAGCATTCACCAGCAGCTTCCAGCCTATAAAACAACTTACATATTGAAACGAAAACCTTATCTTTCCTTTAAGTGAGAGTTTTAGAGGTCAAATGGCCCTCACTCATGGTCCATGTTGGTCATTATCATAACCAAAAGTCTGAAGACTTACTCTGTACTCTGGGCATTACAATATCAATGGACTTTATATTTCAGGAACCCTAGGAAAATACATTAGGGGGTCCTTGCTCAGTTTCAGGACCATCAGTTATGCAATGGCTATGTTGCGGGACTCCCATGTAGTCAACAACAGTTCGCGTTCCAGACCCTGTGACTTAAAACTCACACCGGACACGTGTGCGTGCATGCCCAAGATCCTGAGAGGAGAATGGAGGAGAAGGGATTGTGGTGTGGCCATCACCCCTGGGGGTGATTTCTTGCCTTCTATCTCTCTGTCTCTCTCTATCTGTCTGGTGAGCACACACACTCTATAGCAAAAACTTCTCCCAAAAAAGAAAAAAAGACTGGAACCCTTTAGGAAAAAAAAACATTCTGTGCCCAGACCGACTTTGGAGTTGAGCTGCAATTTCACCTTTCAAGCCCAGGTCTGCAGTCTGATGTCTCTAGAGGGTTTTTATTATTTTTTTTTTTACTTCTCATATTTTATAGTTTATTCCAATGAAATAAAATTTTAAATTTTCCTATAACTTAAGGATCTATAGTCCCTTGCTTCTTCACGAGACAGCTCCATGGCTCCTGCGATCTAGCCATTTTGGGGGAAATGGAGAAATGAAGAGGTGTCACTGATAATTTGGCCTCCAGCATACAAAACTTGTGTGAAGAGGTGGAAGGAAACAGAACAGGCCTTC